TCTTTTTTTTTTTCTTGTTTTTTTTAACATCTTTATTGGAGTATAATTGCTTTACAATGGTGTGTTAGTTTCTGTTTTATAGCTAAGTGAATCAGTTATACATATACATATGTTCCCATATCTCTTCCCTCTTGCGTCTCCCTCCCTCCCACGCCTCCCTATCCCTCCCCTCTAGGTGGTCACAAACCACCTAGCTGACCTCCCTGTGCTATGCGGCTGCTTCCCACTAGTTACCTATTTCACGTTTGGTAGTGTATATATGTCCATGCCACTCTCTCACTTTGTCACAGCTTACCCTTCCCCCTCCCCATATCCTCAAGTCCATTCTCTAGTAGATCTGTGTTTTTATACCCATCTTGCCCCTAGGTTCTTCATGACCTTTTCTTTTTTCTTAGATTCCATATATGTGTGTTAGCATACGGTATTTGTTTTTCTCTTTCTGACTTACTTCACTCTGTATGACAGACTCTAGGTCCATGCACCTCACTACAAATAACTCAATTTTGTTTCTTTTTATGGCTGAGTAACATTCCATTGTATATATGTGCCACATCTTCTTTATCCACTCATCTGTCGATGGACACTTAGGTCGCTTCCATGTCCTGGCTATTGTAAATAGAGCTGCAATGGACATTTTGGTACATGACTCTTTTTGAATTATGGTTTTCTCAGAGTATACGCCCAGTAGTGGGATTGCTGGGTCGTATGATAGTTCTATTTGTAGTATTTTAAGGAACCTCTATACTGTTCTCCATAGTGGCTGTATCAATTTACATTCCCACCAACAGTGCAAGAGTGTTCCCTTTTCTCCACACCCTCTCCAGCATTAATTGTTTCTAGATTTTTTGATGATGGCCATTCTGACCGCAGTGAGACGATATCTCATTGTAGTTTTGATTTGCATTTCTCTGATGATTAATGATGTTGAGCATTCTTTCATGTGTTCGTGGGCAGTCTGCATAATCTTCTTTGGAGAAATGTCTATTTAGGTCTTCTCCCCATATTTGGATTGGGTTGTTTGTCTTTTTGTTATTGAGCTGCATGAGCTGCTTGTAATTTTGGAGATTAATCCTTTGTCAGTTGCTTCATTTGCAAATATTTTCTCCCATTCTGAGGGTTGTCTTTTGGTCTTGTTTATGGTTTCCTTTGCTGTGCAAAAGCTTTGAAGTTTCATTAGGTCCCGTTGGTTTATTTTTGGTTTTATTTCCATTTCTCTAGGAGTTGGGTCAAAAAGGATCTTGTTGTGATTTATGTCATAGAGCATTCTGCCTATGTTTTCCTCTAAGAGTTTCATAGTGTCTGGCCTTACATTTAGGGCTTTAATCCATTTTGAGTTTATTTTTGTGTATGGTGTTGGGGGGGTGTTCTAATTTCATACTTTTACATGTAGCTGTCCAGTTTTCCCAGCACCACTTATTGAAGAGGCTGTCTTTTCTCCACTGTATATTCTTGCCTCCTTTATCAAAGATAAGGTGACTATATGTGCGTGGGTTTATCTCTGGGCTTTCCATCCTGTCTCATTGATCTATATTTCTGTTTTTGTGCCAGTACCATACCGTCTTGATTACTGTAGCTTTGTAGTATAGTGTGAAGTCAGGGAGCCTGATTCCTCCAGCTCCGTTTTTCGTTCTCAAGATTGCTTTGGCTATTCGGGATCTTTAGTGTTTCCATAAAAATTGTGAAATTTTTTGTTCTAGTTCTGTGAAAAATGCCAGTGGTAGTTTGATAGGGATTGCATTGAATCTGTAGATGGCTTTGGGTAGTAGAGTCATTTTCACAATGTTGATTCTTCCAATCCAAGAACATGGTATATCTCTCCATCTATTTGTATCATCTTTAATTTCTTTCATCAGTGTCTTATAATTTTCTGCATACAGGTCTTTTGTCTCCTTAGGTAGGTTTATTCCTAGATATTTTATTCTTTTTGTTGCAATGGTAAATGGGAGTGTTTTCTTGATTTCACTTTCAGATTTTTCATCATTAGTATATAGGAATGCCAGAGATTTCTGTGCATTAATTTTGTATCCTGCTACTTTACCAAATTCATTGATTAGCTCTAGTAGTTTTCTGGTAGCATCTTTAGGATTCTCTATGTATAGTATCATGTCATCTGCAAACAGTGACAGCTTTACTTCTTCTTTTCCGATTTGGATTCCTTTTATTTCCTTTTCTTCTCTGATTGCTGTGGCTAAAACTTCCAAAACTATGTTGAATAAGAGTGGTGAGAGTGGGCAACCTTGTCTTGTTCCTGACCTTAGTGGAAATGCTTTCAGTTTTTCGCCATTGAGGATGATGTTGGCTGTGGGCTTGTCATATACGGCCTTTATTATATTGAGGAAAGTTCCCTCTATGCCTACTTTCTGCAAGGTTTTTATCATAAATGGGTGTTGAATTTTGTCAAAAACTTTCTCTGCATCTATTGAGATGATCATACGGTTTTTCTCCTGCAATTTGTTAATATGGTGTATCACGTTGATTGATTTGTGTATATTGAAGAACCCTTGCATTCCTGGAATAAACCCCACTTGATCATGGTGTATGATCCTTTTAATGTGCTGTTGGATTCTGTTTGCTAGTATTTTGTTGAGGATTTTTGCATCTATGTTCATCAGTGATATTGGCCTGTAGTTTTCTTTCTTTGTGACGTCCTTGTCTGGTTTTGGTATCAAGGTGATGGTGGCCTCACAGAATGAGTTTGGGAGGGTTCCTCCCCCTGCTATATTTTGGAAGAGTTGGAGAAGGATAGGTGTTAGCTCTTCTCTAAATGTTTGATAGAAGTCGCCTGTGAAGCCATCTGGTCCTGGGCTTTTGTTTGTTGGAAGATTTTTAATCACAGTTTCAATTTCAGTGCTTGTGATTGGTCTGTTCATATTTTCTATTTCTTCCTGATTCAGTCTTGGCAGGTTGTACTTTTCTAAGAATTTGTCCATTTCTTCCAGGTTGTCCATTTTATTGGCATATAGTTGCTTGCGGTAATCTCTCACGATCTTTTGTATTTCTGCAGCGTCAGTTGTTCCTTCTCCTTTTTCATTTCTGATTCTATTGGTTTGAGTCTTCTCCCTTATTCTCTTGATGAGTCTGGCTAATGGTTTATCAATTTTGTTTATCTTCTCAAAGAACCAGCTTTTAGTTTTATTGATCTTTGCTATCGTTTCCTTCATTTCTTTTTCATTTATTTCTGATCTGATCTTTATGATTTCTTTCCTTCTGCTAACTTTGGGGTTTTTTTTTGTTCTTCTTTCTCTAATTGCTTTAGGTGCAAGGTTACGTTGTTTATTCGAGATGTTTCCTGTTTCTTAAGGTAGGATTGTATTGCTATAAACTTCTCTCTTAGAACTGCTTTTGCTGCATCCCATAGGTTTTGGGTCGTCGTGTCTCCATTGTCATTTGTTTCTAGGTATATTTTGATTTCCTCTTTGATTTCTTCAGTGATCACTTCATTATTAAGTAGTGTATTGTTTAGCCTCCATGTGTTTGTATTTTTTTTTTCTTTTTGTGGTACACGAGCCTCTCACTGTCGTGGCCTCTCCCGTTGCGGAGCACAGGCTCCGGACACACAGGCTCAGTGGCCATGGCCCACGCGCCCAGCCGCTCTGTGGCATGTGGGATCTTCCCGGACCGGGGCACGAACCTGTGTCCCCTGCATCGGCAGGCGGACTCTCAACCACTGTGCCACCAGGGAAGCCCACGTGTTTGTATTTTTATACTTTTTCTTTATCAGAATAATTTTTTTTTTTTTTGGCTGCATCATGAGGCATGCAAGATCCTAGTTCCCCAACCAGGGATTGAACCTGTGCCCCGTGCAATGGAGGCTCAGAGTCTTAACCACCAGACTGCCAGGGAAGTCCCATTTATCAGAATACTTTAACTTGTTATTCCCATGCTCTTAATGCACTATGCCCTGAATTATTTTGCAGTTGGAGATCTGATGTTTTAGGTCTCTCAGTGAACAATTTTCTCTGCATAGAATCCATAATTGCCTCTTTTTTTTTGAAAGATTTTTTTTGATGTGGACCATTTTTAAAGTCTTCATGGAATTTGTTACAATACTGCTTCTGTTTTATGTTTCGGTTTTTTGACCATGAAGCATGTGGGATCTTAGCTCCCCCACCAGGGATCGAACCCACACCCCCTGCATTGGAAGGCAAAGTCTTAACCACTGGACCACCAGGGAAGTCCCCCTCCATAATTGCCCTTGGTAGCCCATTTTAGAATTGTTAAAGTTCAGTTCCACTTTTTTCTTCTGCAGCAGTCATCAAGTCACACGTTAGTCTTTTCCCAAAGCTCCAGTTCCCTGATCCTTTCCTCATGGAAGCTTTTTTCTACCTCCTCATTAATCATGGACATTTAAGTGAATATTCAAGAAGACTCAGACATAAGTAAGCAAATATATGTTTCATGGTGTTGGATGCTCTTCGGTTTTTTTCAGCTAAATAGAGATGGTAAAACATATACTAACCTTTCCAGGATCCCACTCTTGAGTTTTTGTCTGAAGCTGTAGAAGCTCGTAAGTTAATTCCAAATTTTCTAATTCTGGTTTGGGAAATCCAGGTAGTACGTTGTGTAGTTGGAAACCAAATAGCTCCAACCAACTTCCAATGTCTGTGAGACACAAATTTAAAAGAAAAAAAGATTTTAAAGCCCATACTTTTCAACTTTTGTGGAAAGCTTGAAAGATGCCTCTCCTGCCTTCGATATGTTTAGCCAATGTAAGTTAGGGATAGACTCCCCCTTATGTCACCCACTCCAAAACATATGATCCTTTCCCCAGGGAAACCTTTTGATTCATGGATAATCACAGAGATCAGCTCAGTTTACTGTGTGGAAATTCTCAATGTGGTAGTGGTAATAAGGCCACACAGACTGTGATATTAGATTTACTTGATGCAACAGAATCCCGATTTTTCTTCTATGAAATTATTTGTAGAAACTTTTAAGAGAGAAAACTACAAAAAGAAAGCTTAAAAGGAAAGAGAAAATGTACTGGGATGCAAAAGCATCATGTTTTATGCCAACATACACAGTTCTGTTCACTCTAGAAGACTAAGGAAGAGAGTGACTGCACAATAACTTGTGGGCTAGCTGGCAGGAAGAGGAAGCATATTTACAAAGGCACTGAGGTTATGTGATAAACAAGTTTTCTCTTTACCTTAGCATAAAGTGTTACACCGTTTAAATACCTGTGGTATACTTTGCAACATCTTGAATTTTGCCAACTGGATAGTTATTTTCAAAAGAGTAGAGGTTGAATGGTTTAGGAAGGAGGTTCAACTGTTTCCATATGTGATGATTAGGCGTCGTCCATCTACCAGCAACAACATCATAGTCTCTTTGCCCCAGGTGCACTAATTTAGTAAGGAAATCATAGAGTCCTCCATGAAAACCAATGATGACCTGAAAGTCAGGGTAAGTGTCATGATAGATATCTCCATAAGGCGTGTACAGTATCTCTTTTATCACCTGACCTCGACTGCTGAACACGGCTAGCGGGGTTCCTGTATTATCACAGGCTACGTAATATTCTTCACCACTGCTTAGCTCCATGGCAATAAGGTGACCTTGGAGATCATAATACAGGGATGTAATCTCTGAGCTCGTGTGGTTGTACAAATGAGTAACTCTTATGGGGTTGGCAAGGTCTGCATAAAAGAACTGGAGGTGCTGTCCTAGGCTGGACTTACTGGCGACACGTCGCCCAAGCCCGTCGTAGTAATACTGCACAGTCCAGCCAGAAGCCTTATTGTAGGCTTTCTGCAGCAGACCATTAGAATTATATTCGAATATGTCATTTCCCCTCTGCCTCAGAAAGCCATCTTCATCCATTTTATACTGAATTTCTCCTAGTCTGGTGATGCGATCTCGGAGGTCATATCGGAGAGGAGTAAGACGAGCACTATTCCCGTGGCTTAAGAGGTTGATGTTGCCATTCAGATCATAACTATAACGCCACTGGGTTTTATCATTTACAGAAACAGTTTGAAGTTGCCCATCAGCATCGTATTCATAGAAATATCTTGTTATATTGGCATCTACTCCTACTCTGATATCACATATTACCATTCGGCCCATATTATCGTATTGAATAGTCATCCAGTAGGCAATTGCCTTTAGGATTTCATACTGGACTTCAATGACTTGTCCATTGGCGTTGAAGATCTTGGTGTGCTTCATCACTGTAGTAGTTATGACCTGATTTAAATCGTAATTAATTACACTGAATTTTCCAAACTGCTCTGTTCTACCAGAGACATCGACATATCGGTACAGATCTATGGGCAAAGGGGTTTCATTTATCACAGCTTGCATGCTGGTGACGCGGAAGTTGTTGTAGCTGTAGTCAAACCGAGCATTCACAAGGCCTTCCTCACTGAATCTGAAAATCTGGCGCCCAATAAGAGGTCCTGAAGGGATCAAAATAAAAATAATGAGAACAAAGCTAGGCGCTCAATACTGAACAATCAGAAAGTTCTAGTGTTCTTTTCTTTAGTATGGATGCTTTTACATTCAAAATAAAATATTAGAGATTGACCTCTGATATCTAATGCCTGGGCATCTCATCACATAGATATATATATTCTCATAGTTGTGGCCACCAAATATGAAAAAATTTTAAATACTGTATATTATAGTTATAGAATAATTTAACTATAGGAACTTTAGAAGTAATAACCCATCCAGTAGTTGAGGTGACGAAACTGATATTATAAACATGCTTTTTTAAAAACAATTACTGACAAAAATACTTTCAGTTTATTTAACCTGTGCTACAAAGTCAGAGGGTCAGGTTTTGACCAATTCCAGCATTCAGGTAACTGGATTTGGGCATTTTATAAACCGAAAGGATGAAGTATAATCAAAAGTTGTGACTTTTAAAGACATGTTGCCATCAGCTGAGGCTTATAGAGGTTATATAGGGCTTGAGTTAGTTTCAGTGAGACTCATATCTTGCAGCTGCATCTTTCGGAAGATTTGGTGGTGAGTAGGGACTGATACACAGACTAAGTACCTAGAACTCAACTTTCTTGAGAGCTGAGACATGGAGAGAGAAATGTACTGTATGTTTTTAAGGAATCAGCTTTCATGTCACTTATGTTTTTCATTTTCAATGGAAGATAATTCGATAATGCAAGTGAAATTTGGTTGAATTGAAGAATGTCTATAGGTTAATGCTTATATCTCAGACTGTGGCCAGCAAAAATTTCATAAGACTGATGTGGTTGTATACATCACCACCCTTTCACAACAAACCTGTTTGCCTGTATCTGATTGTGCAAATGAAGCCATCGTGCATCAGGTGTATTGTCTTAATCACTCCAGAAGACTCTTCATATGTTAATGTGACCTGGGTGGTATCATAGAGAATCTCGGACAGCCTTGCTTGCTTGGTGTACTTGTATAAAACTCTGCGCCCTGTCCCCAGCTGCAGGGTCTGTAGTAGTCGGCCATCTCGACTATAGTCTTGGATAAAAGAAGTGCTACTGTCTGGTGGGGAGTAGATGTTCCGGTAGTAGCCCACTGAAAGCATGGTTTGTAAACTGTGGCGCACCATACTAGGCATGGTGACTGAGAGCAGACAATCCGATTGGTCATACTCAAAGATATAACGCCGCTGGCTATGTAAGAGAAGCATCACAGACTGAAACGAGACAAAGGCACGACAGCATAATAGTACCATTGGAGTTCAGGAGATTAAAGAAAATACACATTCATCCATTCAACACAAATTTATGGAGCACTTACTGTGTGCCAGGCACTGTGGTGGACCCTAGTGGATACAGTAGTGGGCAATAATGTGTCTATCCTAAACTTACAGTTTAATGGAAGAGAAAGACAAATAACCAGACAATTATAATATAGTGGGAAATGTGTTATGACAGAGGAAGTACAGGGCGCTTATGGGAAGCGGAGGAAGAGCAGCTAACTCAGACTTAAGAGGTCAAGAAAGGTGTCCTGGAGACTGGGACATCTGAGTTGAGACCTAAAGGGTGGCTAGGGGTTGGCCAGATAAAGGCAGGGAGGTGGGTGGAACAGGATGGGGAGAGTATTCCTGACACAGGGCATAGCATTGTGAGGGTCAGGATAAGAAAGAGAACATGGCTTTTTCAGGGAATGACAGGAATTTTGTGTGGCCAGAGTATGGGTGTGTTGGAAGGGGTGGGTGAATGGCAAGAGCTGAGGCCAGGCAGGTAGGCTGGATCTAGATCACACTGGGCTTTCTAAGCCACGCTAAGGAGTTTGGACTTTAACCTGCTGGCAACAAGGAAAACACTGAAAGCAAATCGAAGGACAGGGCAATCCAGTAGGTATTCCAGAAAGGTTACTGTTGCTTCAGTGTGGAGGTGGACTGGAGGGAGGTAAATGGGGGGCAGGGCATGCCACATATTAAGTATTAGTCACCAAAAAATACTTATTGACCTTATAGAGTAGATGTCTTTCTGAAAAGTTGTATATAAAATATTACTATTACAGTAGTCCCCTCCTTATCTGCAGTTTTGCTTTCTGAGTTACCCACAGTCAACTGCTGTCTGAAAATATTAAATGGAAAGTTCCAGAAATAAACAATTCATAAGTTTTAAATTGCACACTGTTCTGAGTAGTGTGATGAAATCTCACACTGTCCTTCCCAGGATGTGGATCATCCCTTTGTTCAGTGTATCCACACTGTATATGCTACCCGCCCGATAGTACAGGAAATATCAGTATATATAGGGTTCCATACTATCCACAGTTTCAGGCATCCACTGGGGGCCTTGGAACATATCCCCTGCAGGTAAGGGGGGACTACTGTATTGCTCTGCAATTCATGTTTTAAACTATATTAGGGAAACATGCCATTAAAAGTGAAGAATTCTCTGGTTATGCAAGCCCTCTCCCCCAAACTGATCTGTATTTCAGAAACAGTTATTTGTTGAGGTATAACGCCTTGCACGTTATGGGTGTTTCATTGATATTGGTTTATCTTATTTTAATTTTAAATATAGACATAAAAAGAACACTATTGTAGGGAGAACTCAAACCCTATTTCTAATTGAAAAGCATTTAAATCTCATCTTTCAATAAAAATAAAAATTGTTCACCCCTGGAAATTCTGATATATCTCCCTAAGGGAGCTTTTACCCCTCCTTTCTTGAGAATTGGCTTATCAGGCAAAAAGATTTAGTTGAGCTTTATTTTCTGAAGTTTCTGTTATGAAAACAATAGGTATCTTTTCATTTTCTAAATGTAAATTACATAAAGTTATGAATATGAATTACATAAGCATGTATAACGTACTTTTAAAACTTCTAAGTATGAAATTATACTCTCATATTGAACATGCTTCTTGAAACTGCCCGTCATCCCTGCTCGTCTGAGAATTGATATGGAATCGCATGTCAGTACTGTGAAGTCAAAGTCAGCACTTATTTGCTTGTTCGCTTATCCTTTCCTTCTTTTCCACCAAGTACTCTGCCTGGGGATACAGAGCTGTGTGGAAATCCTATCACCTCATCACCTGTGGACACCCTGCAGCTCCAGAAAATCTGCTGAACAGAAGGCTGGAGACTTGGAACTACTGCGTGGGCACGAGGACACAAAGGGACCACTGAGTCCTTGACCAAGGCAGAACTCAACAGAACCTGGGAGGAAACTGGTGGGAAATGCCTTTGCATCACCTCTATGCTGAAAGCCAGATTTCTCAGCTACTTTCCACTCTCTTCTGTCAATTTGCCATGAACAAATGACATCTGTCACCTGCGATGTGGGCCAGGGACAATCACCATATGGCTCGCACACATTATCTAGTACCAGCCTGCCTGGGCCAGGCCTTTTCCAGTCGCTGTACCAGCCTTGCCAAACATTTATAGCACATCGCCATTGTGTTCTCTCCCTGCTCTCATCCTCTGCGCTGCAGTAAACTACTGCCTGACCCTGTTCCTGGGTGGTGCTGATGCTGTGCTGTCTCGAAAGCTCCCTGGTCTGTTTTAAAGCTTCCTGCCAATGGCAAAAATGTGGATGATGTGATTAGAAATCTCATGAATGTAACCGTTGCGTTGCCAGACTAGCATTTAGTTCTCACTTGCCTGCTTTTTCACTTTGAGTGGGGTGGGCATTATTATCAGCTTTTTCAAAAACAATACTTTTATGAGTCCATCCAATGCCCACAGTGCAGCTATACGGTAAAAGGCCATTTCTTATTCGTTGAAACAATGGAGTGGGAGACTTTGTATTTTTTAAAAATTGATTGTGCGATCCGAAAAGACTGTGACATCATTGTAAAGAAGAAAACAAGAACAATCATGGCTGTATACTCATTTGAACACGAGTAGAAATGAGAAATGGCAGAAATTGGAAAAATTAAAGCATTTGAATGACCACCAGATGGCAGTCTGGGGCCACCTGGAAGCACAAGCCAAAGGCTGCATTCTCTCCCTCGAGGCAGCCTTTGAAAATTTCAGCCCCAAAGAGGCAATTTTGTGTAAATGTATCAGACTAAAGCGTCTTCTTAAATGATTATAAAATATATTTAAATGTATTTAAAAATGAAGTTCTTAAGAACGATTTTAGGAAACGGAAAGATGTAAATGTAAATTTACTGTAATACAAAATTTTAGCCCCACAAGTCTTCAAAATATAATTAACTCGGGGAAGGCTCATAAATCGAGATAGAGAATTAATGACCGCACAGAGAAAACTTAAGAAACAATAATTGATTTTTTTTAATAGAGATGAGATCATTTAAGCCACCGCAGCTATTAGCCAAATAATTATTTTTCTCCTAATGGCTACAAACCATTGTGCATGAAAATGGTACGAGTCATTTTTACTTACTCTAGAGGAAGTCGAACAATTTTTACAAAATTTCTGCACATTAAGGTGAAATATCTGCTGTTTGATTTTTAATATATCATGGTATAGGGATGGCAAGCAAATTTACAGAGGTACTACCAGAAGTATTTTGAGGTATAAAAAGAGACTTATATTTTTAAAGTTTGAGAATTCTTACTTCAAAATAGACTACTAGAGCCAGCCACTTTGTCTTGCTCTGCCCCAGACATAGTGAAAGAATGTTCCAGCAAAGTCCATGTTAAAGAGAGGACTTAAAAAGAGCACGGGGAGGCACAGAACCTCATCACCTCACTGGAAAAGTTACATGTTAACTGGATTTTGGTAAATTGAATATTCCTTACCTTTTCTTTCTAGAATCACAATTTCAAAGTTGCTTTAATTTCCTTCCTTCCGCTCTTTCCTGTTTTAATTTACGTTCAAGTAGCAGTAACTGCCAGCCTTTAAGTTCTTCGACTTATATAAATACTAGAATAAATACTAGAATGCACGATTTAAATGGAAAGGAATTAACTTCTATTGAATGACTAGATGTGCTGGGTGCTTTATGTTGTTATTTCATTTAATCGCTGCTCCTATTCAGTGAATTAATTATTATCACTGGTAATAATAATGTTAATAAAATCAACCTCGTGATAGATGATTTTTGGAAAGTAAAGAACCATTCCATAATTCTGTGTTTTGTAGGTTCTGAGTTTTGCATAATAGCATTGCTTAAGTCAGGGGCTATCTTGTAATTAGAGAACAAATTAAATGTGAAATCAAGAAAGGGAGAAAAGTCAACTAAAAGGCACAAGCGATTTGGCTGTCTCACTGGTCAGTTAACTAGTCTTTGGAAGTCACTGCGGCTTTTCTCCATACATTGTTTTGTAACAATAAGGTCTTGTTTCTGTCTACTGCAGACACTGACAGTCTCAGGGAGCTCTCTTTGTTGTGTTTTTTTTTAAAGAATTATTGCCAAGTAAGTTTCTGTAGCAAAACGACGTATGCGAAGTTTGCTTCACATCATTCTTTGCTGAAATAACTGTGATGAAATAATCAGTTAATCCAGAAAAGGGGAACAATAAAATTGCTTCATTGGTGTCAGAGAAGAGGCTAAAAAACTATATGCAGGGCTGGAATTTAAGTTTCAACAGGCTCTTTTGTCATCGTATGGACAGCCTAAAGGGAAAGTTCTATGAGACACAGAAGCAACTGTCTACAGGCAGTTAGCTCAGTGGCCAGACTGTGGCGCTAATGAGGCCGGGGCTCTGAGTTCAAAATCGTTCATACTTCTTTTTTTTTTTTTTTTTGGCTGGGCCCCTTGGCTTGTGGGACCTTAGTTCCCCCGACCGGGGATTGAACCGGGCCCTGGCAGTGAAAGTGCTGAGTCCTAACCACTGGACCACCAGGGAATTTCCTCAAAACTGTACATACTCATAATGCGTGCCAGCTCCTTCACTAGTCACACATAGAACTGTGGGAGGATCAGTGCAAACCTATCCTCATTCCTGGAAAAACTAATCAGCCTACATTCTGCTAGAATCAGTGGCTTTTTTTTTTTTTTGCAGTACGCGGGCCTCTCACTGTTGTGGCCTCTCTTTGTGGACAGTAGTCATACAATTTTGACAATCATCCTTGTTACTAAAATTCAAAAGATAAAAGATCTACTCTGTAAAATTCAGATGTTCCCAGTGTAGAGTACAGATTAGAGATTTCATCGATTTCTTCAGCAGAAAAGGACAGGAGGTGGATACAGCAGAGAACTCTCTCCTTTACCCTGGCTCCCAAGTGGAGCTCTGCTTTATCTCCTAGGCATTCCCAACTTGGCAAATTCCCCAGCGACTGACTCTGGGAAATAATACAATAGTTTTATAATAACATACAACCGCTGGCACACTTTTAAAAAAAAAAAAACTTTCAGGGGTATATCAGAAAGGCTTAGCATCATTTGGTGCAAAGGGTGAAATTTTGCGATGTGAGCTATGAATGCCCATGACTTTTCTAAGAACTTCTAGGGGTGACTTTGCACTGACTACCCTTGAATCCTCAAGGAAAGGCATCTTCCAATTTTCCCAGAAATTAATTCAGGACTGATAAGTTGAATGGATAGATTTGGGAAAAAAAGAGACAGTATCTTAGGACATCAGAGATTGAGATGGTAGATAGAGATCAATTTCTCTTATTGTCTTCTGATACTGATCCGGCTAGAAATCATTTTGCTGTGGGGGGCTGATGTTTGACAAATGGATCCAGTGATGGGATTAAAATCCTTGCCCATTCCAAGCAGACAGAGGCCACGAGCTCCTATTACAGATGCTACTGGAGAGTCATTACATACAAAGGACTATTACCAGCGAGGCCCCACTGCTACCATTTCCTCAGACCGATTACTTGGGAAAATTAGCCTTCAAATGTATACCGCTAAACTTTTACTGACTATCCTAACAAAAGTAGAAGTCCTTATCCTCTGTGTAAGAGGCTCTTTTCCAGAGCTGCGATACATTAACACGCAATTTTATAATTTTCTACCTATTTTACTTCAGTGTGAGCTTTCATAATAATAAAGATACATTTTCAGGAGCATGAACAAATATGCTCAAATGAGGAGAAATCGAAGCCATTATCCTGACTTCAGTTTGAAAGAGTACCTGGCAGAGCGTGGGGTTGGGGAGTTTTCAGCTGAAAAACAGCTTATCCTTACAGGTATAATTTGTTGTTGTTACTTCTATAGAGCAGAACAGCCAGAACACAGACTTTTCTCCTGCAGGTCCTCAGCAAGGCGGGTAGTCAGTGCCGCTTTCAATATTCTCATTCGGGAACTCAGAACTAGTTTATTTCCCCTACATGCTTACCTTTTCTAAGTAGGTATAGCTCCAAATTTTCCCATCAGCCCAAGTTCTTGAAATTATTTTTCCACTCTGGTCATATTCCATTTTTTCATTCCACGTCCCTCGTTGAATAAACGTCACCAATCCTGAAGGTGAATATGTGATATTCACTTCATTATATCTGCTTATGGGAGACCACAGAACAGGTCGTCCAGTCTGGTCATAAAGAATTCGAAGGGTGAATTTCCGATGGTCGTCATAGATCTTTCCTGTGCGAGTCATATGATCAAAATCTATGGAGAGCAGGTTTCTGTTATGGGCCTACAAAAAAGAGATAGGAAATACATTTGAAGCACTGCCTTAGCTCCCCTCGTCAAGTGCATTCACAATCGAAAAGCTTTTACTGTTTCTCCAGCAATGGGGTCTCTCTTGCCTTTGAATCCGCCTGGCTTCTCCTCGGATGACACATGTCTTTATTCTCCCAGCAGACTGTACAGTCTTGGAAGGTTGGGGCTATGTCTTAACTACTGGTATGTGCTAGCTCCTCAACATACGGTTATTGATTGCTTTTGCCCAACTCAAGCCTCAAGTGTGCTGATACAATTTTCAGTGATTATGTAATCTTATTTTATGTGAGTCAGATGCCTACCAAGGAACGGGATTTCCTCCCCCTCTTTTACCAATGAAGTGGCTAAAACATAGAATGGTGAGTTATTTACATAATTAGAAATCAGTAAAAAACGAATATAGAGAGCCTCCTCTAATTTATACAGAGATTCCCTTCTTTGGCTTCCTGTTCCTCTGGGCATGGAGCTTTATGACTTCACATCTATCACGGGGGAACACAGAGCAACTCAGATTGTCTCCTGGAGATGGAAGCCCACTCAGCAATGTTTTCATGGAGGCCAGAAGGTAAATGTGGCAGGTGTTGGTAGGTCCCCCAGTATTGGCGAGGGTGGCACCACTCAGTGAGGTTAGAGCATGTAGTTCAGTCTGGGTACCAAGTTTAGAAACAATTAGTAGCTCGGCTTGGTTCCGGTCTTAGGCTTCCGTGACTGCATGCCAGCATCCCCTCTGTGTACTTCACGGCCCCAAAGTTGTCCTAGAGAAATCCTGCCTCTGAGGAAATTCAGCCTGGTCTACACAAGATAACCAAAGAACTAAATGGCTTGGTTAAAAAGTTTTTAAATTGGCAAAAAGGCCACTTTTACTGGGTTTTCAAAGCAACTGGACAACTGACATGATCTGTTCTACTCTTCAGCTAGTAATGCCAATGTTTGGCACTCCCACCAGTAACTGCTACAGCAACCTGATGACAACACAGAGCTGAAGAAGGCTCTGGAAGACAGGGGTTTTGAAGTAGGTGGGTGGGAGGCCAAGGGGAGGGCTTTGAAAATTTGTTTTATTTATTTTAGTTTAGCTCAGTTAAGTTTCCATTTCAGTGAGTCGTTTGTTTTATTATAACTTTTTACGTGGAACTAGTCTGACTCACAAGGAGTTGCAAAAGTGGGGAATTCCCTGGCGGTCCAGTGGTTAGGACTCCAAGCTCTCATTGCCCAGGGCCCAGGTTCGATCCCTGGTTGGGGAACTAAAATCCCACAAGCCTCACAGTGCGGCCAATAAAATAAAATATGTAAATTGTTGGAGCTATTAAAAAAAAAAGAAGTTGCAAAAATGATACAGTAGCCATGTACTGTTCACCCAACTTTCTAGGAAAAGACTTTTCTTTTGGGTGAAGGGGGTCCAAGCATATCTGGAAGGAACCTTCTAGGTTCTTGGCTGAGACCCACCCCCCCACACTGCCACCCTCACCCTGTAATAAAAACAGGAGAAAAACAAACAAGTTTAATAACATGTATACCTCCTGTACGCATGGGAGAGACCCAGGGGAACTGAGTAACTCTCCAAAATGGCCCAAGCCACCACCTTATACACTATATCCAACTAAAGACAAAAGATGTTGGGAGGAGAGAGCCAGTTATGGGAGGTGACCAGACAAAGCACAGTAAACAAGGGTAAGGTTGTTATGCAGATTTAAGTCGTTGCTTTCTCCATCAGCCTAAAATAATCTTTATACCAAAGAGGCATATTTTGAGGTGGCAAATTCTTCTCCCCTTCAAATAAAAAAGGAGAAACTTTGAGAAGTATAAACAACAGTGGCTCTCGGGAGTCAGGAGACTGAATTAGCTGCTTGTCTGCACCAGCCATCTCTTGTATTCGGGCCTTAGTTTTCTTATCTGTGAAAAGGGAGTGATATTTACCACTCTACACCACACACCTGTGTTAAGAATTAAATGAGATTACATATACGGGTACCTGGTGATGTGTAAAAATAATATTAGTAATTGTTGTTTTTAGATATCATTACTTTTCGCATTTTAGTTAGGCTTCTGAATGGGCCCACGTGTCAGATTCCAAGGACTGTAGCTTGGTGTATTAGATTTATATCTGTAGGAATTGTCAACACGATCCTGAACAGAATATTAAATATCTGTTTAATGAGGTAGGGGAAAAAAACCAACATTAGGATTTGACTACATTAATCATAGTTGGACTAAATGGATTCACTAGCTATTCAACTAAACTTCATGTTCATTTATAATTTTTGTGGTCAAGGATTTCTTTAAATATCTGAAAGCTATATACTGTGTCCCCAGAAAAATGCACATAAGTACACAAATAAACATTTTAAACAAAATCTCAAGTGGGATCTGAAACTCAAGCATGAAACCTTTAGGGGTCTTGAGTCCAATTTCAAAATCCTGGCTCAGAAAGAGGTTTTCAAAAATTTTTTGTTAAAATTTTTCTTTGCTATTTAAAAAATTGAGATATAACTGACATGTAACATTATATTAGTTTCAGGTTCAATATTTGTATATATTGTGAAATAATTACCACAAAAATCTAGTTAACATCTATCAGCATATGTAGTTACAATGTTTTTTCTTGTGATGAAAACTTTTAAGATCTATTCTCTTAGCAACTGTCAAATATACAAAACAGTATTATTAGCTATAGTCACCATGCTGTACATTACATCCCCAGGACTTATTAATCTTTTAACTGGAGGTTTGCACCTTTTCACCCCCTTCATCCATCTCGCCCACACTTCACTACCTGCCTCTGGCAGCCACCAATCTGTTCTCTGTATCTATGACCTCTTTTTTTTTTTTTTTTTTTTTTTGATTCCACATCTAAATGAGATCCAGAGTTTTTATCTTAGTGCCCTGCATGACTGCAAAGCCAGCATTCTCATTTCAGACTCTGGTTTTCCTTTGCTCAGTAATTTTGTGCACTTTGCTTTTTAAAATAACCTCCTTAACTTCTACCCCCATTATGAAAGTGATATTTTTTCATTGCAGAAAAATTGGAAAATATAGAAATATACAAAGAAAATAATCACCTGTAATCCCATCCTTCAATGTGAATCATTGCTAGTACTTTGCAGCATTTCATGCCCACTTTTTTTGCATAATCTATGCCCATACACTTAAAGAATACAATTAGAATTATACTTAAAGTTTTGTGTCCTACTTTTTCAGCTAATGTTTTGTCTTGAGCATTCCTCATGTTATTAAATAGTCTTAAAATGTGGATTTTAGTGGTTACATAATATCTTCTGCATGATAAACATTTATTTTTCCTTTCTCCTATTGTTGGAAATTAGAGTTTTTGTTTTCCATTTTTATCTTTCATGTTTTGTTGAACATTTTTGTAAATAAATATTTCCTTAATACAAAACCCTATAAGGGAAATTATGGGGTCAAATGATAACATATTAAAGACTCCCAATGCAACTCGAGATATTACTTCATGGTGCACAAAGGTTTACAAATTTATGCTCTTATTAACTAGCAGTGGAAGAGTTCATCTCATTCCATCCTTACCACCATTGAGTACTGTCATTGTTAGTATGCTTTTCCCAATACGAGAGTGGGAAAATGGTATGTTGCTGTGGTTTAAATTTGCATTTATTTGGTTACTAATGAGGTCGAACCCTTTTAAACGTCTATTCGCCACATGTACGTCTTCTATGAATTGTCTGCTATTTTCAACGTCTTTTGGTTTCAGTTTCTTCATCAGCCAGCTGGGGCTAATGATATTTGCCATTAATTTTGAGCTTCTGCAAGAAAAAAAAAAAAAAAGGACAGCAAATGTTCCACGCCATGAATTCCAGAAGACCAGTGATTAGATACTCCAATTATTTGGGAGGAAGTCTTGTCAGTTGCAGGGGTAGGTTTCATTCAGGGAATAGAGCCACAGATTGGGAAACATGACTCTTTAACCATCTGTAGCCAATGTGTGCAGTGCCTGTGGTGCATAAATACACAGTAAACTGCTGTTATCACCTACAAGGTGATAGAGAAGCACGTATTTCCTGTCTTTTGATACACAGGGATTGGAAACCTATATGAAACCAGGTGCTCTTTCTTCTACTACCTTTCCTGTGGTTTTATAGCCACATATCTCTAACTGTAATACTGTTCATTTACAATAGCTGTAAAATATCCATGCACTCCCAGAGACTGTTGTAACTGTTACAATTTATGTTATAATGATAGTTAAAGAGCCAAAGTAACAAGTGATTTCCAGTTCAACTAAATTTGTGGTTTTATTTGTCTGATAGATTAAGTTTACTACTCAAGAACACATTTCTTAATAAAGTCATTACAGCTACACAAGCAGGGACCACCGTTAAAAATCCACTACAGGCCCTTCCCTGGTGGTGCAGTGGTTAAGAATCCGCCTGCCAATGCAGGGGACACGGGTTCGAGCCCTGGTCCGGGAAGATCCCACGTGCCACGGAGCAACTAAGCCCGTGCGCCACAACTACTGAGCCTGCGCTCTAGAGCCCGCGAGCCACAACTACTGAAGCCCGCGCACCTACAGCCCGTGCCCCGCAACAAGAGAAGCCACCGCAATGAGAAGCCCACGCACCACAACGAAGAGTAGCCCCCACTCGCTGCAACTAGGGAAAGCCTGCGCACAGCAACGAAGACCCAACGCAGCCAAAAATAACTAACTAAATAAATAAAATTTTAAAAGAATCCACTACAAATCGAGCAGAAGAAAACTCTGCCTAATGTTCTTTCCCTGCCTGTCAAGACTTCTGCAACCATGCTTCTGTTTCTGGATAATGCACTCGGATATTCAGATGTTGCTGAAACGCTAGTTTTAAAGTCAGGTTTGGAAGATAATGTAAAATTCGGCTAAGAGCTGAAAGGGGATGAAGGAATTGAAGATGCCACAGCCCCCCACCCTGCGAGTCTCCTATGGAACCCACATGTGAGAAGGCTGAGAGAAAGAATGCTAGGCTGACC